ATGGTTCTGGATATTTAATTGGCAAGAGTTTTTATTTTAGTTGGAAAGAAGTTATTAAAGCCTTTCATTGTTTCCCGTGCTTTTAAAAATATATAAATAAAAATTCTGATATTTTGTTTCCCATAGTAGATTCAAATGCATTATGTAAAGATTCTCTTTTAATGAAATGTGTTGCCTTTGGAAAGAATGTATATTCCCTAGGTATAGTTCTTGACAGAACATTCCAGTCTGTACTTCACTGATGAGTTCCACTAGCTTTGAGGTTTCTCTTTAGAGGGATTCTTGGCCCCTTGTAATGTTGTACTCCCATCATGTATGTAAGTAGAAGATGGTTTTTAATATAGGTCCTTCTTTTTTTTTTTTTTTTTAAGAGAGAGGAGAGAGAGAGAGAGAGAGAATTTTTTTTTTAATATTTATTTTTTACTTCTCGGCGGACACAACATCTTTGTTTGTATGTGGTGCTGAGGATCGAACCTGGGTCGCACGCATGCCAGGCGAGCGCGCTACCGCTTGAGCCACATCCCCAGCCCCAATATAGGTCCTTCTTGAAGGATAAACAGTTTATGTTGTATTTAGCATTCAAATTAATTATTTAAAGTCTTTGGAATTACTTTTCTTATTTAAAGTAGCTATTTTGATTGTCATCTAATATTATTACTCTGCTATTTTATTGTGTGTCTTTCCCCATAAAAGCATGATTTATGACAGCAACATAAAGTTCATATGGGTTTTCCAAGGACTTTTTGAAATAGCCACCTCTGACCTTCTCCTGGGTTGTTAATGCTTCACTGCCAAATCTCATGGGATTTAAAAAATTATATGTTTCCATACTTTTCATGATAATGCTATAAGGAAAATTAAAATAAAACAATTGACATCACCTTAAATGTGCTCTTATCCTGGTATGTCCATGTTCATTTATGAAATTTTGGTAAACTTTTTAATAAGATTATAGAAAGTTACAGGCTTTTTGTGATTCTGTATGGCTGTACTCATGATCTTAAAACTTACCTAAAAGACTGGCCACAGTATATCTGAAGTACCATTTATCCAGGGAACAGTCACTGAGCACTGCTTTTACCAAACTAAAAATACACCATGTCCCATTATGCTACTTAGCCCGATTCAATCATTCTACAATGTAAAACTCACATTGTATCCTTGAATATATGCAATTATTATTTATTAAATAAAAATAAAACAAACAAGCAATGACTTCAAACTCCAAAGAGTTTGAAATTTATTAAGAAAAGGAAGTGGGAAGAGAGAAGATAAATAATAATACAAATCAATAAGAAAAAAAAAGAGTATAACATAAGCCATAGGAAGCATAGAGGAGGAAACAATTAGTTGTTCTTAAATAACTTAGGTGTTTATGCCAGAGGATATAATAATTGATTTGATATATCACCAAGTGGAAAAAGTGAAGAAATTCAAAGGAAATGAAACAGAATAAGTGAGAAAATATTAGTTCATAGTTATGAAATTAGTAGTTATTACTTTTGGTCCCTTGATGAATTTGCCCATATTGCTCAGTACTAGCCTCATTTTGTTTATATGTTCTATTTACCTAATAACCTCAGTCTTAGCTCCAAACCCATTGAAATTATTAATTTCAATTTACCATATATACATAATCTGAGATTAAACAACATTCATAAAAAGCAGTTATTCACAAAATTTTTCACTTTTGCAGTGATAAAAATGATACCAGTGGATTGATCCCATTTGACTGACTGAAGCATGCATACTGGTAAATTTCAGGGATGATTAATTTTTAATTCACTTATCTAAGAGCCTGCTTTTATGGCAAATACTGAAAATACAGAAAAACTAAAGCTCTTATCTCAAGTAAATAGGAGAAACAAGGCAGACTACTTGCAATAAGGACCTCTACCTAAGAAGAAATGTTTATGTCTACTTAAACACAGAAATTTAAAGAAACACAGGATATCCTTACTGAATGAGGCAATATTTCTGTGTAGCATTTTAAAGGAAACATATAAGGTTTGAAGGACACAGAAAATAATGTCCTGGAGTTCTTTCCATGTGAAAGGCATATTTTTTTTTTCACTCAGTATCTACCATGGGATTTGCTAGCTTGACGTGACATCCAGCTTTATGTTCTTTCAAGGCTGAAACATATCTATTGACCTTTCTAAATCATTGTCCTAATTTCTTGCACATATTTATATAATAGTATTTAAAAGAATGAAGTTTTCAGAAAGAGAGAAAATGATAACTAATTCTATATAAAAGAAGAAAACCATTGGTTAATAATTTTTATCAGCTCCTATTTGCTATAGAATATATTAATTCCCACTAAAAACCATAAAAAAATCACACCTATATTAGAACTATGATTGGAATTGAAAGGTCAAATGACTTAGTTTTTAATAAATTAACTGGTCACTTATATTTTGAAACTACTTTTAAGGCCAAAACTCTTTTTTCTTTTTAATGGACTCTAACTGCTTAATACATTTTATTTTTTCAACATAGCATATTTATCTGATTTATACTTCCTTCCCAAGTATTTAGGCGTATCATTTTCTTATGTTTTCTGTACCTTCCTACTTAGTGGAAACATTGTTTGTTCTTGGAGTATGCTTTGTCTTCCTTTTCAAGAAGATCATCAAAGTTACTAGTTTGCAGCTTCCAAAAAGAAAAAGCCTTCTAATCCCTAGTTCAGAGGCTAACCTTTATTAGTGCTCTTGTGGTTATAATGAGGACCCTGCTTCCAGCAGGGAGATTCTGGAATACTGAACAGATTATTCAACAAGTTCAGAGCAGATTCTGAAGTCCCTTATAAAACCTGCTTGTGAATACTGCTTTCTTTGCTTTACTGTTTCTGGTTTCCATAGTATTCCTAATTATATAAATCATGTGGAGCATGGGAGCTATTTTCTATCCAATATCAGTTGACAATGCTTATGTTGTGGTATAATTTTAATTTTTTTCCAAGTCAGACATTTTAAAAAAATTCTTACAAAGTGTCAAACTCTGAAAAAAGTAGTTTTGTTTTTGAAAATCTAGTAAGTGATTGTTTTTGGAATCTATCATGCTGATATAAAGAATCAGCAAGTTATTTTATGATGAGCAAGCATGGGTAATACTGGTGAAGCTGATAAATTTTTCTCAGGTTTGAATTCAAGATTAACTTATGGATGTAGATCTTTTCAGTTTATCACTTACTTCCCAATTTATTTAACTTTATTTCAATTTAAGTTCTATTCATCTAGTGCTTTTCAATGTTCAAAATGTGTGTTGGTTAAATGAGTATGAATTCAAGGTATATAAATTAAAATCTAATACATAGTAATTTATTGTGGCAATAAACTAAAAGTGCTGATATTTTTAAGCTAGGTTTTTTTCTTTTTAGGAGAAATTGTAATCAAGATTGGTTTTTCTAAACATTTTTTGAAAGATTGAAGAATTATGATACTTAAAATAAGCTATTTCTATTTTAGTTTTTTTATAGTATATACATAATTATGAACTTTTAAAAAAGTCTGAGGCACTCCTTATGGTAAAACTTATAGAGAAAAGGAGTGGCTCTAAAAGAATAAAAATAGGATTGATAGATGAATCTTAGGAATTAGTTTTCAAGCTGGATGAGTGAATTTCATGCATATATCTGATAAGATGTCTAAATAGTCATAGGGCTGTAATTTCTTTTTAACTTTATTTATAGTAGTAGAAAAAAATCTTAAGCTCTATTTCTAACATTCTCCTAAGTGTTGAATATATTAGACAGACTTCAGATTGTGCTTTGGTAGAGTTGTAGAACTTAGTGCCATAAAGTGCATAACTTTTTTACTAAGAGCAAAATTCAGCAGAATACCAGTAGCAAAGGCCATTTGCATAACTCAGCCTCTCAGCAGCTCAGCTGAACCTAATTGTAATTCAATTTCCAGACTGCTTCCCTAGGCCTGGCTGCATAAAATATGCAACATATAACATAACCAATGGTACAGGACCTACTTTCTTTACTGGCAATCTATTTAATTTCTTTTCTGGTATATGTATTAGAATAAGGTAACTAAGATATATAGCTATTTTGTATATTTATATTTGGATCATATGTGTACACTTAAATATTAAGACCAAGTGTAAAAAAGTGATATTCTTTCATTTTTTCTGAGTTCCAAGTGTGCTTATTATTTCTTTCTTTCTGTTTTTTTTTCCCAGAGGAAAATTAAATCTTGAAAAATGTTAGCTAGCTGCCATGTTATTTGAGTATTTTACACTAGAAAGACTTTATAAGCTAATCATGTGAAAAAGTGTATAAACATGTCTGTCAAGTCCATATGGATGTTGCATTACAGATCTACAAGTAAATATCTTTTATCTATTTACAAAATGCCTGCTGGATAAGCATTCCTAAATCCTTGACTAGTTTTATATCTCAGAAACTTAAAAACAAAAAGGTATGGTTAAAATGCTTAAGATTCTCCCCTTATTTTTAAACAGTCTGCCACCCTATTTTTGGGGTTACTTAAGAAATGGCAGTGACAATCCTGGAATAGGATGGTTTATAAAGGTGAGGATTTTATTTTATGAATAATTTCCAGATGTGATGTTTTAGGTATATAGACTCTGCTACAGGAAGCTATATACAGAAACAACATGGATCTTACAATTTTATCAGGACAATGCAAGTAGATTTCAGCAAGGTTGGTTCCAACTCATCTGTGATAAATGAGAAGATAAGGCAATCAGTGCACACCATGACACTCTGTGCAGCTAGTTAGGCACACTTCAGAACTATTCAGGTGTGCTCTCAAAGCTTATGAGTCTTGCATGGGGGGGGTGTCTCAATATAAATACATCCTTCATGGTGGCCACTAGTAATGCAGGAATTGCCTCTCTAAGACTTAACCCAGGTCAGATATAAATAATAGATGTTAAGAGTTAGCTCTGGTATTGGGGCTGTGTTCCAGGCAGTGTATTTCGGTTGGGTCAAAAGAATTTTTTTTTCCCCTTCTTCTCTTGCATAGTTCCTCTGCTTGAAAAATGCCTTCAAAATTCCATCACACCTTTGCGGGGACCACTTTGGGTCTCTAAGGGAGAAGGTTTCAGCCCCTCAGGAGCTAAGATGTACATCCAAGGAGTTCTTTTGGCCTTGTACCAACGATTACAGTCTGCAAAAAAATATTATAAACAGGTGAGTCATCCCTCTTTAAAAACTACTTTATTATATGTTTTAAAAATGTACTCGGTTATATAGAGGAAATGATTGGCATCATGTCATAAAAGAACTGTGACATGTATTTTGTGAGCTCAGTGCCCGTTAGGGAGCCAAAATGCTGCTTCTGTAATCTGAAAGCCAACAATAATGGGGCTAATTGTATCTGTCTTTTGGTATGGGATGTCATATGTCTCATCTTTTCTTGCTGAGTACCGTGCAAAGCAAAGGCAACTCCTTATGTGGAAATTCTATAGAGAGTTGCTTTGAGAAAATGAATAGCTTCTAAGTCATTTGAAGGTTTAGCTTCCTATTTTCCTTTTCATTATAAAACCAGATTGCTTACAAGAGAAGTTGGACTAAAATAAAACAAATCATAGTCTGTAAAAACGAAATTGTGGATTAACTTCACATGTCAAGAGTAACTTATTTCACTTATGCTTATTTAACCTGTGTGTTTTAGGATCTAAAACATAGAAATAGAATTAGTGTATTTAAACCAGGTAAAACTAGATTTGTCTTTTAATTTCTATATATCTGTTCCATAATTGTGGTGTGTGTGTGTGTGTGTGTGTGTGTGTGTGTGTGAAGACTTTGAAATTTTAATAACTACTTATAGGGATTTTTGACTTACCTTAAAGTAGAATTCTCATTGTAAAGCAGAATAATTGATACCATTTATAAAATAAAAATGTAGTTGTCACATATTCAAAATTCTCTTTGCACTTGTTCTTAAGAAACAAGCATACATTTTTACCATGTTAAAAAGGACTACATTTTACATTTTGAACTAGGAGGTTATGGATTAGAACTGGGCTCATTATCTCAGGCCACAGTCTGTTGAAAAATGAATATTTTGAAATTATCATGCTATTCTCTGTGTGCAGAAAGGATGGTGAAGGAGGTGGGAATGATATGTCAGTCTTGATGTTCACACAGCACCTCCTGCTGTCTGGTTCAGAAAAGAACAATTTGTATTGACTTGGAGAGTGTGTTGAAGTAAGGTATTCAGAACTATCAAGAAACATCTTCCCGTGAGAAACTTTTATTTGCAAAATGTGTGTGGTTTGTCCTTCAGCAATTTAGAAGCAAGATTAACAGTTACCGTAGATAAGGCTATTCATAATAATAAATTCAGAAAAATAAAACCCCCAATTTATTTTATTGTTCCTTATTAAGCTATAACGCAAATGTGGTATATTTTATTGTATTTAAAATATTTTAGTTGAAACACTATTTTATTTTTGAGATGTAATGATTTTATAAAATGGAACTTGACAAGTTGAATATATTGCAGTCATTTATTTGATATTGTATGTTTTGATTCCACTTATTGGAAAGTTTTAAATTATTTAACATTGAGTAAAACATTTTCCAATGCAAGAAATGTGCTGCTTAAATATAATCTAAAGACAAATGACTTCTAAGTTTTATTAAAAACAAGGATGGTAGAGATAAGAAACATCTCAGAAAGTAATGATATGTTTTTCTTTAGCTATCTATCCTAATATAATTTAAACTTTAAATTAATATAAACAGCTAAACTAGTTCTGTGCTTTGTGAGAAAAAGAAATGACTTGAGAATTACTTATTGTTTTGATTTAAAGAATTTCTTTATGATTCAAAATTTATGAAAAATACATTTTATTAAATAGTAAATGTAAATGAACAAATTTAACATTTTCACTGTGTTCATATCATTATGCCAAATTTAAGAATACTTAAAATCCTAAGCTCTTTGCTGTAGCTAACTGAACCTTTAAAAATTTCACCATGTTCTGATAATTTAAAGCTTTACAATATGACTGCTTAAGTTTTCTTTTAAAATAAAAGTGAGGAAAAAGAAATAGAAAATTTCCCATTATGTATTTGCATGCAAATTTTTATTTCTTAAACATGTTCAATTATATGTATTGGTGAATCTCTTTTCAATGACTTATTGTACCAAGACTTAATTTAAAATTGTTTACAATGTTTAAAAAAGTCATTGTAGTAGTAACATTATCAGGCCATCAGTGGCTAAATGTTTAACCTGGCAATATCTTTGTTTATGAATAGAATTTTTTAACAAATATCTCTCAGCATTAATGAACTTTATTTGAACTGCATTTACTTCATTTGACCTTTGGGATAGGCTTTTCTATTTAGTTTTACATAAGATTATGTTAAGGAATCATTAGACAGGTAAAATGGAGATGGATTATCATCCATCATTCCTCTTTCCCTATCCAATGTAAGTTTATAAATTATAGGATTATCTTGACTCTTGATGTCATTTATTCTACTTCTGACATCCCGAATAAAAATCATATTGTTTTGCTGTTTGTCAAAATATTATAAAAAAACTTTAAACTTTGACATTCCCAAAGGAAATTTTTTTAAAATAAATTGCAATAATATAGCCTTAAAAAAGAAGTCAGGGATACTGGTTTTATGTTTACGAACTTATCATTTTTTAATTTTTAACTGTAGCTTGGCTGTTATAGCATGCAACTGAATTAAGCACACTACATTAGGGTAGTCTTAAATATATACTGATTCGTGTATATGAAAATGAGATATTATATTTAGGACAGCATAAAGTCACTTAGTCTTACATTTATCACATTTATTTCCTTAAAAGTGGAAACATCTTAGAAATTGCTCAGAGCTAAGCAGAATCTATTTAATTGGTAATCTTTGAAATAGCATAAACGCGTTCCTATGAAATGTAGTTAACACTTTCAGCGACAAGGCCTGTTCCATCTCATTAGCATTCTTGTTATGTAGTGGTGCTGTTGGTGGGGGTGTTGAAGTAGGAATGCCATTGTGTCGAGTTCCAGTGTTTGGGGACAAACACTGCTGTGGAAGGAACGTGTGAAAAGGCCACAGTCCTGTCAGTGAATGAGGAAGGCTGTGCTTTCTGTGTGCTTCAAGCAGGGAAGCTGTCATTCATAGGCCTAACACAGCCAAACAGAGGCCAAAACACAAGGCTGCCCTACCTTTTAAAATGATATTAGTGATTTTTAAACATGATCTTCTTTATTTATAATCTTACATAGAGCTTTTAGTTGCTGTCAGTAAACAAAATATGTCTGTCTGTTCAGAAATACTGTAAAGATGAATAAAAGTCTATGGAATTGTGCCAGGCAGCTATATAAATAATGATTTGGAAGGACTGATGGGCAGTGTTTAGTACAAACGTGATTTGGGGAAACTTCCATTTCTGGAAATGTCTTTCCAGTTTAGATACTTCTTTGAATATTTTTCGCCTAACCAACAAAATTGTTGGAGAGTTTCATGTAATGAATGCATAGAATTTTTTTCCAATACAGTTTTTAAAAGAGCTTATAAACTTTCAGTCTTAATCACAAAGCTATTCACAATATGGCTTAGTTGTTGTAGATTGCATAGTCATTTCTGAAGTTCAGAGGGAAACAAAGGAAATGACTATATCAAGATATTAATCTTGATAAATACCATTTTAATTATGAAGACAGTCGTAGTCCCTGTGCTACTTAAGACATAAATACATTAACACATAGAATTAAGAAGTTTGAAGGACAAAATTTTAGCAGTTTGGAAAGGAATGACCAATTTTGAGATTAGACTATAACTCGTTTGATTATTTAAAGCAAAATAAAGAAAGAACAAAAGAATCTCAAGTATTTCTTAAGATTTTGAGGCATCTTTAAAACTTTATCAGTATATTGGAAAATTGGCAATTTCTATTTATGTCTGAAGGTGTAGAGAAATGTTTTATTTCTGTAATTTTATTTGAAAATATATACATGGGCTATTTGTGATAAATCATTACTTAGTGAAGTTTGCCAAGAACCATATAATTTTTGGTCTGAGTGATTTAAAATTTTTTGTATGTATGTGGTCCTTTGTTAATTAATTAAGCAAAGTAACTGTTTTGAGTGCTGTGGTATGCTATTTCTAAAAGTTTTGCATTTGATTCAAATCTAGATACTGAATTTCTATTTCAAAAATTAAGTTTCACTATTTAAATTGGAACCATGTTGTAGATTTATTGTGTGGGTATATTAGTAGATAAGGAAATAACTATCTAACTTCAGTATATATTGGTTTTTCAGCTTAAAATGGAATGTATCTTGCTAATGTGTTAAACTAAGCTCTTCCAAAGCACTTAAGTTTTCTTTATGAGTTAATGTTGTCTTACATTACAACACCCTTTCACTGTTTGATAATTAGATATCAGTAATAATGATATTATTCTATTCAGAATTGATTCAGCTAAAAATGTGCTTGAATTACATTTAGTGCTGATAGAATTTGTTGATTGCAAAAAATTATTTTTAAAGGAATCTTGGTGTTTTAATTTTTTATAAAATCATTGATAGTTTATCTTTCTACATCCTGTGTCTTAAGTCAATTAAAATAATTTATTGGTTCTAACTCTGCTGAAAGAATAACTATTTATATTTCATTTTCTATACTATCTCCTTAAAAAATTGAGTAGTTTTCTTAAGATAGTCTTTCTGGGGCAATACTCAAATTATTGCAGTTTTGAACAAACTTCCCAATGTCCTTGATACCTTGGGACAAATTTCTAATATAGGAACACAACTTACTAATAAGAATATAAAAATAATGTGGCAGTCATTTCAAAATGAAAACTACTTTTGAAGGTTTTGATAAGTAATTTTTTTTAGAAAATTAGGTTGTTTGTAGATTTGAGTGATTGTTGTTTTTTTTCTTTCTCCTGAAACCAAGCTGCATTCTAGTTACTTGAAGTATTTTAAGAACCTTAAACTTGTGTCTTTTTCTAAGTGTCATGCTTTGAGCAGGCCTAACATCAGTTAAATGAAGTGAAAATTGCATTCTTGTCTTGATAGAGATGAAAATGGATTTCTGGTCATGAAATAGATGTAGTTGTCACTTTTTAAAAAAGGTGTCAGCAGTTTGCTTCAGCGAGTAAGGTGCCAATTCAGTATGGCAGTAAACTTGTGATCTGAGCAATCAATAAAATGCTT